TCAAGTTTATGAATGATACAGTTGTTAAATATCATAAGGAATATCAATCGAAAGAAAATGTCAGACTTTTCTACTCAGAAAGCCCATTCAACGTTACGACTGACTATACATGTGTGTGGCTCTTAATAATTTTCAAGCATATATGTATAGAGTGGCTAACATTAATATTCTATCATTCAGCTTTATAACGTTCAACGAAAATATATATATATGCGTGTATAATTAGACAAGAGTTTTCGCTATGTATATCGACATATTTTTCAAATCAAAATATTTAATATATAATTTAAACATGCATACTTTACATAGTTAAAAATATCTGTAAATTAAAATGGTTTGAGTGCGACTGCGAGGCAAAAAAAAAGAAATTATTGTTGAGATAAAATCATGGTATTGAAAACCGGACCGGACCGGCCGGGTCAACCCGGAAACCGGTGAACCGGTCCCCTGTCCGGTCTGGGTTTGCACTTAACCCGGTGAGGGAGTGAACCGGTGTAACCCGGTCAACCCGGGTTCAACCCGGTATAACCCGAATAACCCGGTGGGTTGACTGGGTTAACCGGGTTAATATTTTTTCAGACTTTTACCTCAAAATGACGTCGTTTTTGATTTTTTTTTTCATTTTTAATTTTTCAGAGCTCTGAGTTCGGAAAAAAAAAAAAAAAAAGTAAAATTGAAGTCAAAAAATAAAAAATTAGAGATAGAGCATGCTAAGTCCAAAAATATAGTATTTTATTATTGTTAGACTTTTGAGTGGTTGGATTTGGTTGAATGTTTTTATAATTAATGTCTTTTTATTTAAATTGTATTATTTTAATTATGACCGGTTTGCCACCGGTTCAACCCCCGGTTCAACCCTGATTGAACCACTAACCCATGACCCAGTGCCATGACCGGTTTAATGACCGGTCCGGTTTTACGTACCTTGGATAAAATGATGACTTGAAGATGATTTAGAATTTTTTTTTTCTTTTTTATGCCATGGTGGATATGTTTGCTTCTTACATCATGAAAAATTATGTTAACAAGAAACTTTTTGCAATTTATATTGAAATATAATTGAATACAATCTTAAAATAAAATAAATGGAATGTAATTTAATCTTAAAAATTTAGGAAAAAATTGTGTTTAAAAATTAACATAATTTGATATTCATAATATAAATATGATCCATTATGTACTGATTTTTATCAATACTGCTCAGATTTATTATTAGGTGACTAAACTTTTAGTAAGAATGGAGTCAGCTTTACTCTTCCATAAAGTCGCTCCTCCTTTGCCCCTCTACACCCAGGAGCAAATCTAAACGATTTAGATTTAATTTTTTTATTTTTATTTTATATTTATTGAAATAAAATATTTATAAAAATTATAAAAAATGTATTGTAATAAATATGATAACCAAGCTGGACAGTTTAGATTTATATTACAAAAATAAATATTTTTAATATAACTTAATAAACATGCTCATCACCAATTTGAATAATACTGGTTTAATTTGAAAAGTCTAATTTAATATTATAATTTTTTAAAATTTTTATAAATTGACCTATTTTGATTATATAAATCTAAACTATTCAGATTGATGATCAGATTTATTATAATATTTTTTTTATTTTTATAAATGTTTTATTTTAATAAATATAAAATAAAAATAAAAAATTAAATTCAAACCGTTCAGATTAATCTGGACAATTCAGATTTGCTGCTGAGTGCAGACTGCAGAGGAGCAAAGTCGAATCCGTGTTGAATAGGCACCCCAACTTGAATGAATACGGCATGTGGGAAAATAATAGAATACTCATCCATAAATTAGATGATGGGCCATTACTTGAAAATAAAAATTAATTTGATTTTTATTTTTTACTATTTTATATTTTCTTATTTTATATATTATATATTTCAAATTAAAAATTATCTCCCGTAGTTGACGGGCACAATGATACTTATTGGTCCAAAAACAATGGTGACAATTTTTGGAATCTTCTTCTCCTTGCTATTTTTTTTATTATTATTTTGGAACCTTAGAACAGGCACGTTGATCTCACTATATACCATTATGGTCTTTTTGGAGCAATAGTTAACAAATTTTTAGTTGAATAAAAATTAAACTTACTTTTTCACTATTGCAAAGTAAATTTTATTAATTAGTTTATACTTAACAGATTCTTCAAAACACTAATAACAGCTAATGGATTATGGAATGCCAATCCCACAATATGTTGTGACTAAATATGTGACTGTTGATTTGTCTCTAAGAATAATGGCTTACATTAACTTCCTATCTCCTTCATAATTCCATCGATCACTTTCTTTTCCTAACTTTTTTAAGTTTTCCATAAAAGAATAGTAAATAAAAGACATTGTTCATCATTTGGATTAGGTATAATTAAATGAATTTTTTCTACTTGGAAAGCTCATTCCACATGTTAATTATGACGACCAACTATATAGGTTTATGTGTGGCTCTTAATAAGTCTTCAATCAACTTATTAAAAAGAGACCATAATTTATTTATTTTTTTTAAAAAAAAAACTCATCACAATCATAAATGTATAGAATCTCGCTCGCATTAACATATCTATCATCCAACTTTTACATGTTCAATGAGAATATATATATATATATATATAATCAGGCAATAATTTTTGGTGTGTATTAGAAGATGCGTCAAGCTATTAAAGTTTGTGAATGGAACAGTTCTTATAATTTGATTTAATATATTGAGCATGTTTTCCATGTGTTCAAAATAAAAAGGGGGATAAAAGAATTATTGCCGCAAGCTATTTAAATGTTGATGAAACTAGTTTATTTTGGCACATTTTTACAATAAAAAGAATTAATATACAATTTGAACAACTTTTATAATAGATAAATATCCTTAAAATAAAAGTGGTTTGAGTGCATGCATGATAAAAAAGAAATTATTGTTCAGATAAAAGGATGCCTTAAAAAGGATGATATAGAAGTTTTTTCCCATTTTTTATGGCATGAATATGTTTGCTTCGTACGTTATGAAAAATTAAGTTAACAAGAAACTTTTTACAATGTATATTGATATATAACTGAATATACTCTTAAAACAAAAGAAATCGAATATAATTTAGTCCTAAAATTTATGACAAAAATGTTGTTTGATAAATGATAATTTTATATATTTTTATCCTTTTAATTTAGACTTTTAAATATTTATTTGAGGCTGTTTAAGTTTACTTGAATATTATTTGATTTTATTAGCCAATCTTTAATTTTGAGATTTTAACTAACTAAATCTTAAATTTTAAAATATAAATGATATCTTTGACATTTTTGCTGCTATTTAATTTTATTTTATTTGTGCAAATTTTCTAAATTAAATTTAGAAGATATTAATGAAGATTATTTTGGATATAAGAGTATGGACATACTTGAAGATTAAGCTAAAAATCAAATTTTAAAAACTTTATTTTAATTATTTATGTTTTTTTGGGTCTTCTAATGTAGTTTTCATTTAGAGTTATTAATAATAGTTTTGTTATTTTCATCAAATTATTGGGTTTTATATTTGTTATTGGACGCACATGAGGTCACGCATGACTTTTAGCATAGAAAAAGAGCACGTGGACGAATAGCTGTTTATCTTCTTCTTTCCTTCAATTTTCTTGAGCCATGGCTTCTCATTTTCTGATGCAGTGCTGTTTGATTTTTAGAGTTATGAAGAACTAATTTTTTTTGATGTGATCAATTACAAACTATGACCTTAAATTTTAATCAAAGTCTTTAATATTTAGAAAAGAATTTATTTTAGATTTATTTCGATTTGCTCTTCTTCTCTTAACCTCTAAATTTTATACTTTAATTGCTATTGCTGATTAAAATAGCTTTATTGTATGATTTTTGTGTTATATATTTTATCTGAGGTTTTGTTTGTTATAAACAATTGATATAGTAACATATATAAGAGTAATTTAGCCTAACTTGAATGATTACTCATACTTTATTTCTAGTGTGGTTAATATAGAAATGGTTGTTAAGTTGTGGGTTATGAAAGATTTCAATTGATCCAAGTTCAATTTCTTATTTAATTCTTAAATGATAAATTGAGAAATATATAATAAAATCAAAATAAAAAAGTTAAATAAATTTAATTTATTTTGTGGATGAGGAAGATTAAGTTTAGAAGAGGGGTTGTAATTGATTGGGTTGCTTTTTCTTGATAATTTTTTCAGTTGCATTTACTTTATTTATTTAATTTTAATTTAGTTTTTTTAAATTAATTTTTTCATACAAAATCCTCCCACTATTTAGCTTTTTATAATCTCAATTTGAGTAGTTAATTTATTGACTCTTAAAGAAATGATTTAGATTGCACTTTATTGTAAAATTTAGTTTTTATTAATTTTAAAATATAAATGATATCTTTGACATTTTTGCTACTATTTAATTTTATTTTATTTGTGCAAATTTTCTAAATCAAATTTAGAAGATATTAATGAAGATTATTTTGGATATAAGAGTATGGGCATACTTGAAGATTAAGCTAAGAATCAAATTTTAAAAACTTTATTTTAATTATTTATGCTTTTTTGGGTCTTCTAATGTAGTTTTCATTTAGAGTTATTAAGAATAGTTTTGTTATTTTCAACAGTAGTGTCATTATTTAAAAAGTAACATCTTTTGATAGCATTCATTAATTAAAAGGATGATTATTGGATATTAATTGAGCGATACATTCATATAGTCATAGATAATCAGGTTAAAAGAAAGAAAGAAAGAAATAGGAAAAATACTTCGTTTGCAACAAATAAACAAAATTAAAATTTGTTGTTTTGAGCCAAATAATTATTAGTTTTTTTAGAAAAAATTGTGATGAGCGACATGAATTTTTGTCAAGTGAGACCCACAAAGGTTGACAAGTGACATTATAAATACTGGATCTTCTTCCAAGAATTTATGTCCATGAAAGCATCCACCATTAGCTCCGAAAATTTGAGAGCGACAAAAGTCTGCCTGACGTTGTCATGATGGATGGTTCCTGCAATAAAAATATTGTTGTGCTTGGTTTTCTTTGGTTGCTTACCTTATCAAATGTTGATTTATGCATTTGCAGTGCATCCTCTCAAGCTCAATGCCTTCCAAGTGAGCGAGAGGCCTTGCTTAAGCTGAATCATCGTCTTTCAGATACTTCAAACAGGCTTGCCTCTTGGTCTCCCCATGAAATTAATTGTTGCAACTGGGAGTTCGTTGTTTGCAGCAACATCACAGGCCACATTCTTGAGCTTCACCTCACAACTCCTTCAGAGTTATATGAGACATCAAAGTTTGGTGGTGAGTTACATTCTTCTGTGCTTGATTTGAAGGATTTGAATTACCTAGACTTGAGTGGCAATGATTTTGGATATATGCAAATTCCTACTTTTCTTGGTTCAATGGCTAGCTTGACACATCTTAACCTATCTCATGTTAGGTTTAGTGGAAGCATTCCTCTTCATTTATGGAATCTTTCCAATTTGATCTATCTTGACCTTGGAGGTAATCATTTTGAAGGAAATATTCCTCATCAAATTGGAAGTCTCTTCAATTTAATCTATCTTGACCTTGGAAATAATTATGATCTCAATGGAAGCATTCCTCATCAAATTGGAAATCTCTCCAATTTGCTCCATCTTGGCCTTAGATATAATGATTTCAGCGGAAGCATTCCTCAAGAAATTGGAAACCTCTCGAATCTAAACTATCTTCAACTCCAAGGTTCTCTACAGTCTTCCATGGATAGAGATGTATTCTCAACATCTATTGAAAATCTTCATTGGCTTTCTACTCTATCTTCTCTCCAATATCTTGAGCTCATTCATGTAAACCTATCCAATACCTTTGATTGGTTACAGGTTCTAGATTCACTTCCCACCTTGAGAGAATTGCATTTGTCAGGCTGTGATTTTAATAATCATTTTCAACCATCCAACTCAAACTTCTCATCTTTAATTGTCCTTAGTATTTCTGGTTGGTACTTTGGCAGTTCATTGATCCCAAAATGGATATTTCAATTGAAAAATTTGGTTCATCTTCAATTATATGATAATGGTTTTCCAGGTTCCATCCCAAATGGCATTCAAAACTTAACACTCCTTCAACATCTTGATTTGTCCCAAAATCGGTTCAACACTTCCATCCCCGATTGGTTATACAGTTTTAGTCATTTAAAGTCTCTCATTCTCTTTTATAACTATTTGGTTAGCACAATTTCTAGTAACATTGGAAACTTGACTTCTCTTGTTACCCTTGATTTGAGTGATAATCTTTTAGAAGAGCTAATTCCAATTTTAATGGGAAATCTTTGCAACTTGAAAACATTGTCTTTCTCAAGCAATAAGCTCAACCAACAAATTTCTAAAATATTAAAAATCCTTTCTGGATGTGCTTCACAAGCATTGGAAATTTTTTATATGGCTGGTGCTAGATTATCTGGCCATCTCACTAACCAGATTGATCTTTTCAAAAATCTTATTGAACTTGATCTCTCTTTCAACTCCATTCAATGTCCCATACATGGCTCATTGGGAAATCTTGCATCTCTAAAGTACCTTAATCTAGGTAATAATTCCATTAAAGGAGAACTTCCTAGCTCCTTAGGAAATCTTACATCTTTGATATGTCTTTCTCTTCACGACAATGCTATTCATGGTGCATTTCCTAGCTGGTTGGGAAATTTAACATCATTAATGCTTCTTGATCTCACAAACAATCAACTTGATGGAAATCCTTTTGAAATTCTAGGATCACTCTCTAAACTGAATGGCCTTTATTTGGGACAAAATCTCTTTCAAGGAGTCATCAAAGAAGCCCACCTTGTTAATTTTACCCAATTGTGAATATTCTTATCATCAAAAAATCAATTCACTTTACAAGTAGGTCCAAATTGGAGTCCTCCTTTTTAGCTCATGCAGAGTTTAAGTTTGGCCTCTTGGAATTTAGGTCCCCACTTTCCTTCATGGATTCAATCACTAAACCATCTTTATTTTTTGGACATCTCGGATACAAAGATTTTTGATTCTCTTCCAACTTGGTTTTGGGACACAATAGGCAATAATGTTGAGTATTTGAATCTCTCTCACAATCATATTGAAGGAGAGCTTTCGAATATGCGAAGAAACACAACTTTTCCCCATGTTGTTGATCTAAGCTCAAATAAGTTACATGGCCAATTACCATATACACCACAAAATCTAGTGTACATAGACCTTTCAAGCAATTGGTTCAGGATCGATTGCTCATTTCTTGTGTCATAAACAAGAGGAGACAAGATTCTTAAATTTTCTTAATTTGGCATCAAATAATTTATCAGGTAAAATACCTGATTGCTGGATGACATGGCGACATCTTCAAACAGTGAACTTAGAGAACAACAATTTCATTGGGATCTTAAACATATCCATAGGATCCTTTCCTTGGTTGGAAACATTGAACCTTCGCAATAATAATCTTTTTGGAAACTTTCCTACCTTTTTAAAGAACACGAGCAACTTAGTTTCCTTGGATTTAGGAATGAATCAATTTTCAGAAAGGATTCCATCATGGGTTGGACAAAGGTTGTCAAATTTGAGGATTCTTGTTCTTAGATCGAACAAATTCTGTGGTCCAATTCCACGTCAACTTTGTGGCATGAGTGTTTTACAAATTTTGGACCTTGCACAAAATGAATTGACAGGACAAATACCAAAATGTGTCAAGCATTTGAGTGCTATGTTGGTGATTAATAGTAGTTTAGAGTCATCCATTTCTTTTCCAGACATGTATGCCGATTCACTATTGATAGTTGAAGAGCTAGTATTGAAAGGAAGAGTTTATGTTTACAGCACCATCCTTGGTCTTATCATCAGCATGGACTTTTCATGTAATGAATTATCTGGAGTGATACTGACAGAAATCACAGCACTTAAGGGACTCCATTTTTTGAACCTTTCAAATAACCTTTTTATTGGCCAAATTCCTCAAAACATTGGCAATATGAAATCATTGGAGTCTATGGATTTTTCAAGAAATCATCTTTCAGGTGAAATCCCGTCGAGCATGTCTGAATTAAGCTTTCTAAGCTTCCTAGATTTGTCTTACAATAATTTGAAGGGGAAAATTCCAACAGGGACCCAATTGCAAAGCTTTGAAGCATCAAATTTTGCTGGCAATGATTTGTGTGGTCCTCCGCTCACCATCAATTGTACATCAAACGGCTCTAATGGCAAACACCAAGAAGTTGACCATGTGAATGGAATTAATTGGTTCTTTGTGAGCATGGCATTTGGATTTATTGTGGGATTTTGGGCTGTGGTGGGTCCTTTGCCCTTTAGTAGGTCGTGGAGGTATGTTTATTTCAAATTCATCAATAACATGTGGTACAAATTGCAATCTTGTTGGTACTGGTGAGAAAGCTAAGGCAAACTTGGACTTGGAAAGTTGGTGTCTTTAGAAGATCAGCGGTTTATCTATCTTGTAATCATATTATATATGCTCTTCAATGATGAGATAATTGATATAAATAAATTCTTTGACAGGTATTGTTTAATTGAACTATGGATATTGCATCATTGTATAACGTATTCCATGTGATGAATGAGTCTTTTTCCAATAGATGCATTAAAGATAACACCAAAGGAAACACATTTATGTATTTATTTCATAAATTACCTTTTAAGAATTAACATGAATTTATAAAAGGCTCCAAACCTAAATTATTAATGCATTTATGAACAATTTCGTGATCTCCAATCTAACATCTGTATAATAATGAAACCAAATCTATTCAATGCATTAGCCTTGAGTAAGCAATACTACATCTCACAAACCAGTAACTGTGCAAATGCACAATAATGATCACGTGGTTTCAAAAAGAATTTAATTTACTAATAGAGGCTGATCCAATTGATAAGGATTTGTCCATAACTCACAAGGTTGTGAGTTTGAATCCCACTGCGTGAAGATCTAAGATCAATCCGCATATATTGAACTAAACATAACACACTCTGATCTGGGCCTTTTTGATGTATCACTCCACATTCTCTAGAATTGGTTTGATGGTTGTCCATGGCAACTAATGGAGAGAAAATTAATTTCATTCATGTATTATAATTTTATTAAATTCGTTCTTAAATATCTATTATAATTCTCACGAGTTAAAGCTGATAACTTTTTGACCAAACAAAGTCGATAACTTTAAAAAACTTTGCTTGTAACATTCTTATTTTATCTGGTGTGTTTATTTTTGTTATAGTTGAGTCTATTAAGAATTAGTATGATAGAAAATCTGAAATATGATGGTAATAATTTCAGATATTCCCTGTAACCACAAATCTACGCAGCAACTATCCATAAGATAAAAATAGTTGAGAGAAAATATTTTTATCGAATCATAACTAAATTCAATATCTTTGATCTTTCTAAGTTATTTGAGTTTTTAAGTTCTTTTATCACAAATTTAAAAAAATCACAGTGCTTGAATATAACCTTTCATTGAATTTTATGATTTATATATATATATATATATATATTGTTTGCCCTTATTGACGGACACAAAAGTAATAAGTCAATAACAAAAGACTTTAAAAACAATTTATTTGGCATTAAAAAACCATGTTTGTAATTTTGACGTTTTTAATGTTCATGACGATAATGAGTCAATTACGAAAGACTTTACAATGTTAGATTATGACAACAACAAAATTTTCCGCAGCGCGTAATTTAATAATTTCTTTTCTCCAAATAAAAATAAATAGTATTTTTCATTAACAATTCTTGCGTGAAAAAAATTAAATGTTCGGACAAAATTAATAGCAAAAGAAGTTGGAAAGCCCCTTCTACACGTTGTGACGAATTATGAGGCTCTCAATTAATCTCTAATCATCTTCTTAGGTACGAACATCTTTAGAATATTGATAACGAATCTTATGAAAAATTTTCTGCAATCACAACGCAATTTTTTAAGTTGAATGACTATACAATTAGATGCCTCTTTTTAATTATATTCAAAAGAATGGAAAAGATGAGTGAGTAATTTTACAATGAATACTAATAATATATATATATATATATAGTACAAAGTGGATAAAAGAATAATTTTGGCCAGCTACTTACATGTTAAGATGAAATCAATATTATGATGGCATATTCTTAAAATAAGATTAATTAAAGAATCGAATATATAATTTGAATATCTCTTATAATAGAAAAACAATATATAATCAAATACAGGCGGGATTTCTTTGCTATTCTTACATGGAGGTTTTTCATGAAAAAATTTGGGCCCTATATACGAATGAAAATAAGATTACTCTTATTCATAAAAATTATATAAATATCATTCATTGTGTCCTAATTTATGAATATTGCTCATTTTTAGTATGTGACTAATTAGCTTTAATGTTTTATGAAATAGACATCCCAACTTGCATGGATACAGCATTTGAGAAAATAACAGAGTTATCAATTAGATGATGGGCCTTTATTCTAACCACCAATACACAAATTATCATTTAGCCTGGCTTCAAGAAAAATTAATTTGATTTTTTTAAAAAAATGTTTTTTGTTTTTATATTTTTCTTACTTTATACATTATTTGTTCGATCAACCTTTTAAAGTTTTTCTTTTATTGAAAAGTTTCAAAAATTATGGTGCATGGAGTAAATTTCCACAAAATTTTATGATTTTATTTATATGTATATGTAACAAGTCCAGCACAAAAGACTAAAAAAAATTGAATTACAACTAAAAAAGGAATTTGCAACTTTGCCATTTTTAACACGCACGTAAATAACATGTTAATTAGGACAGATTTTACAAGATTGGATTATGGCGACAAAAAAACTTTCTACAGCACATACTTGTACACTTTTTCTCCTTGGAATGCCCATTCCACACACTGTGAAATTCCAACTACATTGGCACTCTCATTTTTTTTCCCAAATCCATATTCATATTTTATAATTTCTTTATAATTTTAAATTTTCTCTAAATTCTAACCATTTGAAATTCCAACTATACTGGCACTCTCATTTTTTTTCATGTTTTTATTTTTGATACTTTTGTTACTCTTACATCTCCTCTCTTTCTTTTCTGCGTCTCTCACTAGTTTAAAAATAAAGTTAAGCTCGTCAATTTTTAACCTTCCGTTTCTGCTTCAAATATTATTAGCTTGTCTCTTTTTTATCTTTAAAATTTTATACACTATTCAAATAAAATATTTTAAATGCACGGATTTTAAAAGTGATATTTTAAATTTAAAATTCAATTTCATCCATCCAAACACTAACTATAATTTATATTGAAAATTAATGATGATTTGGAGTACCTTTAATTTTCGTGGAGCTATATGATTTTACATATACGTTCTGTTGTTGATATGCACAAGCGCTTTAAGACAATGATCAAAGACTTGGAAAAAAAAAAGGGAAAATAAAACAGAGGTCCCACACAAGAATTAAAATTGCTAAAATGTCCCACAAAATGTAAAAATAATATTCTGAAGACCCATGGATTGTAATTGTAAATAAGTTTTTCTAACTTTATCTTTCATCTCCTTCAATTTTCTTAGGTCACCTTCGCTGCCTTCTGGTGCTTGAAGCTTTCATTATTCTTTCCTTTTCTCTTGTAGCCTGCACTATGAACTCTTGGCTACTCTACTGTATCGATTTTGAGAAAATATATATATTCATTGATTATTTGTTTGCTGTTTGTTTTTGTTAATTCATTTTATTATTTTTCGGCTTGCTAATGCTTCCGCAAGACATCCCATTCCATTCCCACGCTTGCCTCTGAGCCCGCCAAACGCTAGCTGCCAGACGTCGTGTCTTCCTCGGTGGTGGCCTTAGAAAGAAGGAGATGACGGAAGATGAAAGGTAGAGTAAGTAAGGGCATTTTGGTAAATGCACATAAAAGCTTATTTACAATTAAAGCTCATGGACTTTAAAATTATTTTCACATTTCGTGCAACTTTTTGACTATTAGAGTTATTGTATGGAACCTCTGTATGATTTTCCCTATAATTTTTTTTAATTACACATAAAAAAGAACTCAACTTTGCCGTTTGTAACATGTAAGAAGAAAATAAGTCATGAAAGACGTTAAAAAGTTAGATTATGAGTATAAAAGAATTTTTCATGACATATAATTTAACAACTCATTAGTCTCATTCATTTACTATTCAAATGTGGAAATTTTGAAAGTTGGGACCAAAGTACTAGCAAATGGATGGAGAAATATCAAGTTGCGACTAATTATATGACTGTTAATTAGTCTTTAGTCATCTTGTTTCGAGCAAACATGTATAGAATGGTCCAAAAAGATTTGAGATGAATTTTTTCCTTAGAATTTTGTTTTCTTTCTACTTTATTTTCTGGTAACTAGTGCAATATAAATCACAATGCTTGAATGTAACCTATCATTGGATTCTATGATTGTGTGTGTATTCCCTCCGTTTTTATATATAAAAGAAAAAATATCACTTATTATTTTGTTTTTTTATAAGCAAAATTGCATATCTCAATAAGCATTTATTACAATTTTTTTGAACTACCCCTCATAAAATATAATTTTCATTCACGATAAATAATTAAGGAAGTCTTATTTTGATTCTATACAAGGGTATTTTAGTCTATACAAATGTTATAGTTAATCAATTTTTTTAAAATGTGAAATACAATTATTCTCGCTTATATATATATAAACAAAGGGAGTATATGTTTACCTTTATTGAAGGGCATAAAAGTAATAAGTCAATGACAAAACACTTCAAAAACAATACATTTATGAACTTAGAATATTTTGTTTGTATTAATTTTGTAGTTTTTAATGCGCATGACCATAATGAGTAAATTATGAAAGACTTTACAACGTTAGATTATGACAACAAAATAATTTTCCACGGCATGTAATTTAACAATTTATTTTTTCAAATAATAATAAATAGTATCTTTCATTAACATCATGTGTGGAGAATTTAAATATTTGGACAAAAGTATAACACGGATGGATATATATATCACAAAAATAATAGAAAAAGAAGTTGGAAAGCCAATTCCACACGTTGTGACTACTTATGAGGCTGTGACTTAGTCTTTGATCAACTTCTTGAATACAAACATGTATAGAGTGCCCCCACCTTAAAAATAAATTTCCTCTTATATGTATAAAATTTATATAAATATCATTTATTATGTTCTAATTTTCATTTCTCATATTTAAAAGTTGACAAAACTTTTAATAAAAATGCCGTGTTGAATTGTCATTGCTCTAACAACTAATGCACAATATAATAACGAATTAATGATCATGTGGCTCCAAAAAGAACTAATTTGATTTTTATTATTTTTTTCGTTTTTATTCCTATCTTAATTTATACATTATATAGTTGATCAACCTTTTAAATTCCTTTCATTTGTTACAAATTTATGTATAGCTATATTGGCGGCCTAGTGCGTGCCCACTTTGTTAACCAATGTTGTTTTATAATCCTACTTTGAATAATAGTATTTACCTCATCTTGCTGAAAAAAATGGACCATCATATCACGGTCATTAACTAATTAAAGGCTAAAGTATATATTTAGTCCTTTAACTTTACATAATGTTTTATTTTAACTCCTAAACTTTATAAAGTGTTTTTTAGTTCCTTAAATTTGCAGTAAATATATTCTCATATTCTTAAGCGTTTATTACCTTCTTGTTTTTGCAGTAAATGTCTAGCAATCTGATCTTTTTTTTAAAAAAAATTTAACCATGAAGAGGTTTGATTTGGCTATCAAATGGTTTGTGTGCGTGGGCTTTTGGGGGGGGGGGGTTAAGATATAAATCATGTTTTTGAAATTGTTTGTCATCATTGATATAGACACAATTAGAAAATTAGAAGCAAGTCCAAGGGTGCAACAAAGGCCTTGGCAGAGCTATATTGTGAGTAATTTGATCAGTCTTTTAAGGGTGTGTTGGGATACATGAGGATTTGGATTTTGATTTCAACCCAATCTCTCATTTAGATACATAAAAATGTCTATGAATTTGGATCCATGTTTTATTTTAACTTCTTTGTAATTTTAAATTTTTTTTAGACCTTATTTATTTGAAATTTCAACTACTTAGGCCATCTCATTTTTATTGTTGAGGCCTCTGTTACACTTGCCTTTCTTCTCTCATGTCTCACCAATTAAAAAATAGAGTTAAACTTGTTATTCTAAATCTTCTATTTTTGCTTTGAATATTAGCTTGTTTTTCTCATATCTTGAAATTATTTACATTATACAAAAAAAAGGATTTTAAATGTGATGTTTTTAATCTAAAATTAAAATTTAAACTTATCAATTCAAACACTATCTATAGTTATATTATACTTGCAGTAACATTTTGTGGAGTTGTATGATTTTATGGTTATTCAGGAGCACAAGAGTATTAAGTCAACGATCAAAGACTTTAAAAAGTAGAATTAAGCATAAAAAAGAATTTAACTTTGGCGTTTATAACAAGCACAAAAATAATAAGTCAATTACGATAAAAGACTTCATAGAGTTAGATTATGACTATAAAAGAATGTTCTCCAACACATACTTTAACAACTTCTTTTCTTTAAATAATAAATAGTCTCATTCGTTTACTATTCAAGTTTGGGAAATTTGAATTTTGGGACCAAAGTAATAGGAAAAGGATGGGAAATATCAAAATGATTTGAGAAGAATTTTCTCCTTTGGAATGCCCATTCCACAAGTTGTGACTAATTATATGGCTCTTAATTTGTCCTTAGTCTACTTCTTACAAGCAAGCCTGTCTAGAATGGTCCACAATGATTAATTGAGATGAATTTTCTTTTTTCTTTTTTATTTATTTGCTAGTAAATTGTGCAATTCCCACATACATTTTACTCTCTAAATGATTATTGATAATGTAGATGTGTTTATGATATTTGGCGAGGTACTTCAATGTTATGTTGAAATTATTTGTATTTTGGCATATTTTTAAAGTAAAAGGATTGACTACATAATTTGAACATCCTTTATAACAAGGAAAATTTTTTCTTTATATCTAAATAGGATTTGTTTGTTACCCTTACATCGAAGGTCTTTAAGGAAAAAAATCATTTGGACTTGATCGATGAAAATAAATTTCCTTTCCATTACATAAAAAAATATATAAATATAATTTCTTATGTTTTATTTTTATTGCTCTTTTCATTAATTAGGTGCCTATATTTTTTCACATGCAACATGCATGACAGAGGACCAAACCATAACATGCCATTATTCTAATCAGTAATACATAATAACTACTAATGATCAAGTGTCTTCGAAAAGAATTAAATAGATTTTCTTAAAAACAAATTCTTAACTTATGTAAGAGACTGTTCATTGTTTGAAGGAAGAAAATAATTAGAGAAGAATTTTTTACTTGGAAAGCCCATTCCACACTTCAATCCAAAAAAGGAAGCTCATTCCACACGTAATTATATGTCTGACAATATATATAGATATATGTATATGGCACTTAGACTTGTTTGTTTAAACTTTTATACAAAAAAATTAATTATTCTTTTTTTAAAAAATTATTTTATAATTTCTATCTAAAATTTTGAATATAATCAGAATATGAAAAGAAACAAATTTTTTTAACATTTTAAGAATCTAATTTAAATAGTTTTAAAAATAATGTAATATGATATATGAGATAGAATGTCATACAAACGCATTGATACATAAAAATATCATTAAATTTTTAAATGATTAAATAAAAAAAATATTTTTAAACAAAAATTCACAAATCTAAGAATAATTAAATAATAATCACTTTTTATTATTATAATCATATATAAAATAATTTGTACTTTATATAAAATCAAAAAAAATAATTTTTTAATAAAATATCTACTCCTTTTAACCTTAAAAAAAGTTCCTTAATCAGTCTTTAATCCTTTTTTATGACAAGAAATAGATGTGAGCTTGATATTATTTATAGAGCTGGTAATTCAAATTTAGTTTGGCAAAATGATAATTTTTTTAATGTTTGGGCCTCTTCAAGCAAATGGGCCTGATTTGGGCTTAGTTCAAATACCTTAATAAAAAATTATATTTTTAAAAATATATAAAATGTAATAAAATTTAAGTAATTTTTTAAGTTGAAGGTCATTTTATAATAATGTAATAAATATTTAAGTGCATTACTATAGATATTTTTTAAAAATTAAAAATATTTATATTTTCATATTTTTATTATTTTTAATTTATAAGACATTCAAAATAATATTTAAAATATATTTTTTTATTAATTTTTATATTTTAAGGACCATATATTGTTTAAAAAAATTTTGAATCCTATACATTGTTTAAGTATCCAAAATACATATTTTACATTTTTTTTATAATAAAATAATTAATTTTAAAGCACAAAATTTAATAAAAAAATAATTTCAAAAATAAAATTTAAAATTTGGGCTACTCGAAGCCAAAACAACCAGAAGAAATTTGGGTTGGACTTAACTATTTAGGATTTTTAAAGAGTCAGCCCTATCCGGATTCAAGTCTATTTGTGACTTGCCGGAATTGCCAACATTAATTATTAAGAAATATCCAATCCTCTGATTGAGTTATTATTGCTATAAGCTTGTCGTTAGCTACCCAGCACTGTTGTTGAGCGATTTAAATATTTTGAAATACTAGATATTTGTAAATTTTTTTTGAAATTTATCATTTAAAGAAAGAAGGAAAAAATTTTATATTTTATAAAAAATAATGAAATAATAAAATAACATTGAAAAAGAAAAAACTTGACATTCCTGTCAGTCACATGACCTGATATTCATTAGCAACTTCCTGGACCTTTCCTCATGTGTCAAACAAAACATATTACGAAACTACTAATAGCTTTTCCTTTTATCTATCTCTCCTTTTATTCCTTATTCTATAAAGTTAAAAATGATACCTGGAGACGATTAATATATTATTTGAATCGTAACTATTGTTTATATAAGAATAAAACTGTCAGGCTTAGAATAATTATGGTGCTATGTTTCTTTTCTTTGTACTGCTTTGTATTGAATTTAAGTTTTTTTTTTGTTTTGTTGTTTTTTTATTTTTATTTTGTTCGTTGTATTTTATTTATCTTTGTAAAGTTTATGATTTTTCATGATATTTTATGGTTCTGCAAAAAAAAGAAAGAAAAGAAAAGCATGTACCCAATACTAGTTAGATTGGGTGACACTGATTAATTAATTAATGCTCTTTAAGTAAAATATTCATCCTATTTAAAATGTTTATCATCACGTTATTCAGTTGTGTGAAGGGTACAGTACAGTTGTTAATTGTGACAAGGAATATCAATCAAACAAGACTTTTCTGAGTAGAAAGCCCGTTCCACACGTTAATTATGACTGACTACATATATATATATATATATATATTGTTTGTGGGGGGCTCTTTATTAATTTTGTTTTTAGGAAAAAAAATCATCACAAAAAAAAGAAGGATGGCTGAAATTAACATTCTATCATTCAACTTTATAATGTTCAATGAGAATATATATGTATATAGTCTATAAAAAAAAGAATATATATATATATAGTTAGACAAGATTTTTCGGTGTGCATATGACACATTTTTTAAATCAAAAGTTTTAATATATAATTTAAACATCTTTTATAATATATAAAAATATTCTTAAATTAAAACGGTTTGAGTGCAAGGCAAAAAAGAAATCAATGTTCAGATAAAATGATGATTTAAAGATTATTTACAAGTTTTTTTCCCTTTTTTATGGCATGGTGGATATGTTTGCTTATTACATTATGAAAAATTATGCAACAAGAAATTTTTTGCAATGAATATGGAAATATAACTGAATAGAATCTTAAAACAAAATAAATCAAATATAATTTAATCTTAAAATTTTTGGCAAGAATGTTGTTTTAAAATTAACATAATTTGATATTCATTTAAGAAAGTGATTATTGAATATCAATTGAGCCACTGACTCATATATCCGATCAGGCTTAAAAAATGAGAGAAAGAAATAGGAAAATACTTCTTTTGCAACAAACACACAAAATTAAAATTTGTTTTTTGGAGCCAATATATATATTTAAAAAAATTATGATGATCCACGTGAATTTATGTCCAATGAAACCCACAAAGATCCACAAGTGACATTATATATACACAGCTCTCTTCTTTTGAGAATTGTATTGCCTTGAAAGTATCCATGACAAGATCATAACATTTGTGAGCGAAAACCTTTGATTGATGTTGTCAGGATGGATGGTTCCTGCAATATTAATGTTCTATTTATTTTTCTTTGGTTGCTTACCTTAGCAAATGTTGATTTATGCATTTCCAGTGCAACCTTTGAGGCTCAGTGCATTCCGAGTGAGCGAGAGGCCTTGCTTAAGCTGAAGCATCATCTCTCAGATCCTTCAAACAAGCTTGCTTCTTGGTCTCCCTATGGAATTAATTGTTGCAACTGGGAGTTCGTTGTTTGCAGCAACATCACAGGCCACATTCTTGAGCTTCACCTCACAACTCCTTCAGAGTTATATGAGACATCAAAGTTTGGTGGTGAGTTACATTCTTCTGTGCTTGATTTGAAGCATTTGAATTACCTAGACTTGAGTGGTAATGATTTTGGTGATATGCAAATTCCTGCTTTTCTTGGTTCAATGGCTAGCTTGACATATCTTAACCTGTCTCATGCTTGGTTTGTTGGAAGCATCCCTCTTCATTTATGGAATCTTTCCAATTTGATCTATCTTGACCTGGGAGGCAATTTTTTTGAAGGAAGTATTCCTCATCAAATTGGAAGTCTCTTCAATTTAATCTATCTTAACCTTGGAAATAATTATGATCCCAATGGAAGCATTCCTCATCAAATTGGAAATCTCTCCAATTTGCTCCATCTTGGCCTTGGATATAATGATTTCAGCGGAAGCATTCCTCAAGAAATTAGAAACCTCTCGAATCTAAACTATCTTCAACTCCAAGGTTCTCTACAATCTTCCATGGATAGAGATGTATTCTCAACATCTATTGAAAATCTTCACTGGCTTTCTGCTCTATCTTCTCTCCAATATCTCGAGCTCATTCAGGTAAACCTATCCACTACCTTTGATTGGTTATAGGTTCTAGATTCACTTCCCACCTTGAGAGAATTGCACTTGTCAGACTGTGATTTTAACAATCATTTTCAACCATCCAACTCAAACTTCTCATCTTTAATTGTCCTTAGTATTTCTGGTTGATACTTTGGCACTTCATTGCTCCCAAAATGGACATTTCAATTGAAAAATTTGGTTAATCTTCAATTACGTTATGATGGTTTTCGAGGTTCCATCCCAAATGGCATTCAAAACTTAACACTCCTTCAACATCTTGATTTGTCCCAAAATGGGTTCAACACTTCCATCCCCGATTGGTTATACAGTTTTAGTCATTTAAAGTCTCTCATTCTCTCTGATAACTATTTGGTTGGCACAATTTCTTGTAACATTGGAAACTTGACTTCTCTTGTTACCTTTGATTTGAGTGGTAATCATTTAGAAGGACCAATTCCAAATTCTATGGGAAATCTTTGTAACCTGAAAAAATTGGATTTTTCAAGCAATAAATTCAACCAACAAATTTCTGAAATATTAAAAATCCTTTCTGGATGTGCTTCACAAGCATTGGAAATTTTTTATATGGGTGATGCTGGATTATCTGGCCATCTCACTAACCAGATTGGTCTTTTCAAAAATCTTATTGATCTTGGTCTTTATTACAACTCCATTCAAGGTCCTATACATGGCTCATTAGGAAATCTTGCATCTCTAAAGTACCTTTATCTAGGTAATAATGCCATTAAAGGAGAACTTCCTAGCTCTTTAGGAAATCTTACATCCTTGATGTATCTTTCTCTTAGGGACAATGCTATTCATGGTGCATTTCCTAGCTGGTTGGGAAATTTAACATCATTAGTGCTCCTTGATCTCACAAACAATCAAATCGATGGAAATCCTTTTGAAATTCTAGGATCACTCTCTAAACTGAATGACCTTCATTTGGCACAAAATCTCTTTCAAGGAGTTCTCAAAGAAACCCACCTTGTTAATTTTACCCAATTGCAAACATTCTCAGCGTCAAAAAATCAATTCACTTTACAAGTATGCCCTAATTGGAGTCCTCCTTTTCAACTCTTACGGAGTTTACGTTTGGCCTCTTGGAATTTAGGTCCCCACTTTCCTACATGGATTCAATCACTAAACCATCTTTATATTTTGGACATCTCGGACACAAAGATTTTTGATTCTCCTCCAACTTCGTTTTGGGACACAATAGGCAATAATGTTCCGTATTTGAATCTCTCTCACAATCAAATTGAAGGAGAGCTTTCGAATATGTGGATAAACACAACTTGGCCCTTTGCTGTTTTTGATCTAAGCTCAAATAAATTGCATGGCCAATTACCTTATACACCACAAAATCTAATGTACATAGACCTTTCAAGCAATTGGTTTTCAGGATCGATTGCTCATTTCTTGTGTCATAAACAAGAGGAGACAAGATTCTTATGGTTTCTTAATTTGGTGTCAAATAATTTATTAGGTAAATACTTGATTGCTGGATGACATGGCCATATCTTCAAACAGTGAACTTAGAGAACAACTATTTCACTGGGATCTTAAACATATCCATAGGATCCTTCCCATTTTTGGCAACGTTGAACCTTCGCAATAATAATCTTTCTGGAAACTTTCCTACTTTTTTGAAGAACACGAGCAACTTTGTTTCCTTGGATTTAGGAATGAATCAATTTTCAGGAAGGATTCCATCATGGGTTGGACAAAGGTTGTCAAATTTAAAGATTCTTATTCTTAGATCGAACAAATTCACTAGTCCAATTCCTCATCAACTTTGTGGCATAAGTGTTTTGTAAATTTTGGACCTTGCACAAAATGAGTTGACAGGACATATACCAAAATGTGTCAATCATTTGAGTGCTATGTCGGTAATTAATAGTAGTTTAGACTCATCCATTTCTTTTCATGAAGCTTATGGTGATGCATTATTGGTGGTTGAACCACTATTATTGAAAGGAAGAGTTTATGATTACAGCACCACCCTAGGTCTTATCACAGGTATGGACTTTTCATGTAATGAATTATTTGGAGTGATACGAATAGAAATTACAGCACCTAAGGGACTCCATTTTTTGAACCTTTCAAATAACCTTTTTATTGGCCAAATTCCTCAAAACATTAGCAATATGAAATCATTGGAGTCTATGGATTTTTCTAGAAATCATCTTTCAAGTGAAATCCCATCGAGCATGTCTGAATTAAGCTTTCTAAGCTTCCTGGATTTGTCTTACAATAATTTGAAGGGGAAAATTCCAACAGGGACCCAATTGTAAAGCTTTGAAGCATCAAGTTTTGTTGGCAATGATTTGTGTGGTCCTCCGCTCACCATCAAGTGTACATCAAACGGCTCTAATGGCAAACACCAAGAAGTTGACCATGTGAATGGAATTAATTGGTTCTTTGTGAGCATGGCATTTGGATTTATTATGGGATTTTGGGCTGTGGTGGGTCCTTTGCTCTTTATTAGGTCGCATTTGGATTTATTATGGGATTTTGGGCTGTGGTGGGTCCTTTGCTCTTTAGTAGGTCGTGGAGGTATGCTTATTTCAAATTCATCAATAACATGTGGTACAAATTGCAATCTTGTTGGTACTGGTGAGAAAGCTAAGGCAAACTTGGACTTGGAAAGTTGGTGTCTTCAGAAGATCAGCGGTTTATCTAGTAATCATATTATATACGCTTTTCAATAACGAGACAATTGATATAAATAAATTCTTTGACAGGTATTGTGTAATTGAACTATGGATATTGCACCATTGTATAACGTATTCCATGTGATGAATGAGTCTTTTTCCAATAGATGCATTAAAGATAAGACCAAATGAAACACATTTATGTATTTATTTCATAAATTACCTTGTAAGAATTAACGTGAATTTATAAAAGGCTCCAAACCTAAATTATTAATGCATTTATGAACAATTTCGAGATCTCCAATTTAACATCTGTATAAGAATGAAACCTAACATATTCAATGCATTAGCCTTGAGTAAGCAATACTACATCTCACAAAACTAGTAATGCTATCATCAACAACAATCAAACAACCAAGTTAGTATTTCGTTATATCTTACGATATACTTCATCCCAAAATAAATCATTAGGATGATGACGATGACGCCGCTGCCAGCAGACTTCTCTTGGATTGCCATAGATATCCAATTCCAATTATAATTCAAATGATGTGAAAGCCGAATAGGCTTTGACTATGACGCCTGACTGTGAATACTATAAATTATAGAAACTAGTTATCATAGTTTTTATGCATTGTACATTGAATACTGATGATATAGATGTGTTTTTGGTACAAAGTGGATAAAAGAATTATTTTGGCCACGTACTTGTATGTTAAGGTGAAATCAATATAATTAGTATGGCATTTCGTAAAATAAGATTAAAGACCGAATATATAATTTGAACATCTCTTAATAATTAAAAAAAAAACAGTGTATCCTGAAACATAGATTTGATTTGTTTTCTATTCTTACATTGATGATTTTCATGAAAAAATTAGTTTGGACCCTATATATGAATGAAGTTTCCTCATATTCATAAAAAATATTTAAATATAATTCATTATGCCCTAATTTTTATTAATATTACCTATATTTATTAGGTCATTAAACTTTAATAAAAATGCGTTGAATAAACACCCCGACTTGCATGAATACGGCATGTGAGAAAATATAAGAGTACTTATCCATATCAATTGGATGATAGGCCATTGCTCTAACTGTACAAATGCACAATAATGATCACGTGGTTTCAAAAAGAATTTAATTTATTAATAAAGGCTGGTCCAATTAATAAGGATTTGTCCATAACTCACAAGGTTGTGAGTTTGAATCCCACTGCCAATGTGAAGATCTAAGATCAATCCACATTTTCTAATACAGAGTCAAGCTAAGCATATATTGAACTAAACATAACTCACTCTGAGATCTGGGCCTTTTTGATGTATCACTCCACATTCTCTAGAATTGGTTTGATGGTTGTCCATGGCAACTAATCGAGAGAAAATTAATTTCATTCATGTATGATAATTTTATTAAATTCATTCTTAAATATCTTTATGATAATTCTCACGAGTTAAAGCTGATAACTTTTTGACCAAACAAAGTTGATAACTTTAAAAAACTTTGCTTGTAACATTCTTCTTTTATCTGGTGTGTTTATTTTTGTTATAATTGAGTCTATTAAGAATTAGTATGATAGAAAATCTGAAATATGATGGTAATAATTTTAGATATTCCCTGTAACCACAAACCTACGCAGCAACTATCCATAAGATAAAAATAGTTGAGAGAAAATATTTTTATCAAATCATAACTAAATTCATGATCTTTGATCTTTCTAAGTTATTTGAGTTTTTAAGTTCTTTTATCACAAATTTTAAAAAATCACAGTGCTTGAATATTACCTTTCATTGAATTTTATGATTTATATATATATATATATATTGTTTGCCCTTATTGACGGACAGTAATAAGTCAATAACAAAAGACTTTAAAAACAATTTATTTGGCATTAAAAAACCTTGTTTGTAATTTTGACGTTTTTAATATGCATGACGACAACGAGTCAATTACGAAAGACTTTACAATGTTAGATTATGACAACAAAATTTTCTGCAACGCGAAATTTAATAATTTCTTTTTTCCAAATAAAAATAAATAGTGTTTTTCATTAACAATTCTTGCGTGAACAAATTGAATGGTCGGACAAAAGTAATAGCAAAAGAAGTTGGAAAGCCTCTTCTACACGTTGTGACTAATTATGAGGCTCTCAATTAATCTCTAATCATCTTCTTAGGTACGAACATCTTTAGAATATTGATAACGAATCTTATGAAAAATTTTCTTTAATCACAATGCAAATTTTTAAGTTGAATGACTATACAATTAGATGCCTCTTTTTAATTATATTCAAAAGAATGGAAAAGATGAGTGAGTAATTTTACACTGAATACTAATAATATATATATATATATATATATCGCACAAAGTGGATAAAAGAATAATTTTGGCCAGCTACTTGCATGTTAAGATGAAATCAATATTATGATGGCATATTCTTAAAATCAGATTAATTAAAGAACCGAATATATAATTTGAATATCTCTTATAATAGAAAAACAATATAATCAAATACAGGCGGGATTTCTTTGCTATTCTTACGTGGAGGTTTTTCATGAAAAAATTTGGGCCCTATATATATATATGAATGAAAATAAGTTTACTCTTATTCATAAAAATTATATAAAAATTATTCATCATGTCCTAATTAATTTATTAATATTGCTCATATTTATTATGTGACTAATTAGCTTTAATGTTTTATGAAAGAGACATCCCAACTTGCATGGATACAGCATTTGAGAAAATAACAGAGTTATCAATTAGATGATGAGCTTTATTCTAACCACCAAAACACAAATGATCATTTGGCCTGGCTTCAAGAAAAATTAATTTGATTTTTTAAAAAATGTTTTTTGTTTTTATATTTTTCTTAATTTATACATTATTGATTGAATCAACCTTTTAAAGTTTTTCTTTTATTGAAAAGTTTCAAAAATTATGGTGCATGGAGTAACTTTCCACAAAATTTTATGATTTTATTTATATGTATATGTAACAAGTCCAGCACAAAAGACTAAAAAAATTGAATTACAACCAAAAAAGGAATTTGCAACTTCGCCATTTTTAACACGCACATAAACAAGAAGTCAATTATGAAAGATTTTACATGATTGGATTATGGCGACAAAAGAATTTTCTACAACACATACTTGTACAATTTTTCTCCTTGGAATGCCCATTCCACAAACTGTGAAATTCCAACTACATTGGTACTCTCATTTTTTTCCATATTTTTATTACTGATACTTTTATCACTCTTACATCTCTCTTTCTCGTCTGCGTCTCTCACTGGTTTAAAAATAAAGTTAAGCTCGTAATTTCTGCTTCAAATATTATTACCTTGCCTCTCTTTTATCTTTAAAATTTTATACACTGTACAAATAAAATATTTTAAATGTACAGATTTTAAATGTGATATTTTTAATCTAAAATTCAAATTCAAATTCATCCATTCAAACACTAACTATAATTTATATCGAAAATTAATGATGCTTTGGAGTACCTTCAATTTCCGTGGAGCTATAAGATTTTACATATATGTTCTGTTATTAATGTGCACAATAGCATTAAGACAATGATCAAAGACTTGGGGAAAAAAAGGGAAAATAAAACAGAGGTCCCACACAAGGATTAAAATTGCCAAAAGGTCCCATAAAATGTAAAAAATAATATTTTGAAGTCCCATGGATTGTAATTGTAAATAAGTTTTTCTAACTTTATCTTTCATCTCCTTCAATTTTCTCAGGTCAACTCTGCTGCCTTCTGGTGCTTGAAGCTTCTTCACCACCTCTTCATTATTCTTTCCTTTTCTCTTGTAGCCTGCACTCTGAACTCTTAGCTAGACGTCGTGTCCTCCTCGGTGGTGGCCTTAGAAAGAAAGAGATGAAGGAAGATGAAAGGTAGAATAAATAAGGGCATTTTGGTAAATGCATATAAAAGCTTATTTACAATTAAAGCTCATGGGACTTTAGAATTATTTTCACATTTCGTGCAACTTTTTTACTATTAGAGTTATTGTATGGAACCTCTGCATGATTTTCCCTAAAAAAAAAAAACTTTGAATTACACATAAAAAAGAACTTAACTTTGCCGTTTGTAACATGTAAGAAGATAATAAGTCAATTATGATGAAAGGCTTTATAAAGTTAGATTATGACTATAATAGAATTTTTCATGACACATAATGTAACAACCTATTAGTCTCATTCATTTAATATTCAAATGTGGAAAATTTGAAAGTTGGGACCAAAGTAATAGCAAAAGGATGGAGAAATATCAAGTTGTGACTAATTATATGACTGTTAATTAGTCTTTAGTCATCTTCTTTCAAGCAAATATGTATAGAATAGTCTCCAAAGATTTGAGATGTATTTTCTCTTTAGGATTTTGTTTTCTTTCTACTTTATTTTCTGGTAACTAGTGCTATATAAATCACAATGCTTGAATGTAACCTATCATTGAATTCTATAATTGTGTGTGTATTCCCTCCATTTCTGTATATAAAGTGAAAATATCACTTATTGTTTTGTTTTTTTACAAGTAAAATCACATATCTCAATAAACATTTATTACAATTTTTTTTAAATTACCCCTCATAAAATATAATTTTCATTCACAAGAAAAAATTAATGCAGTTTTATTTTGATTTAATACAAGGGTATTTTAGTCCATATATTTTTATTTCCAAATACAATATTATAGTTAGCCAATTTTTTTAAAATGTACGATGCAATTATTTTCTCTTATATATAGAAGCGAAGGGAGTATATGTTTACCCTTACTAAAGAGCATAAAAGTAATAAGTCAATGACAAAACACTTCAAAAACAATACATTTATGAACTTAGAATATTTTGTTTGTATTAATTTTGTAGTTTTTAATGTGCATGACCATAACGAGTTAATTATGAAAGATTTTACAACGTTAGATTATGACAACAAAATAATTTTCCACAACATGTAATTTAACAATTTATTTTTTTCAAATAATAATAAATAGTATCTTTCATTAACATCATGTGTGGAGAATTTAAATATTTGGACAAAAGTATAACATGGATGGATATATATATCACAAAAATAATAGAAAAAGAAGTTGGAAAGCCAATTCCACACGTTGTGACTACTTATGAGGCTGTGACTTAGTCTTTGATCAACTTCTTGAATACAAATATGTATAGAGTGCCCCACCTTAAAAATAAATTTCCTCTTATATGTATAAAATTTATATAAATATCATTTATTATGTTCTAACTTTCATTTCTCATATTTAAAAGTTGACAAAACTTTTAATAAAAATGCCGTGTTGAATTGTCATTGCTCTAACAACTAATGCAAAATATAATAACGAATTAACGATCATGTGGCTCCAAAAAGAACTAATTTGATTTTTATTATTTTTTATTTTTTATTCTTATCTTAATTTATACATTATATATTTGTTCAACCTTTTAAATTCTTTTCATTGTTCACAAATTTATGTATAGCTATATTGGCGGCCTAGTGCGTGCCCTCTTTGTTAACCAATATTGTTTTGTAATCCTACTTTGAATAATAGTATTTACCTCATCTTACGGAAAAAAATGGACCATCATATCCCAATCATTAACTAACTAAAAGTTAAAATATATACTTAGTCTTTTAACTTTATATAATGTTTTATTTTAACTCCTTAACTTTACTTTTTTGTCCATTAAATTTGCAGTAAATATATTCTCATATTCTTAAGGGTTTATTACCTTCCTGTTTTTGCAGTAAATATCTATCAATTTGATCTTTTTTTTAAAAAAATTCACCATAAAGAACTTTGATTTGGCTATCAAATAGTTTGAGTGCGTGGGTTTTTTGGGGGGGCGGGGTTAAGATATAAATCATGTTTTTGAAATTGTTTGTCATCATTGATATAGACACAATTAGAAAATTAGAAGCAAGTCCAAGGGTGCAACAAAGGCCGTGGAAGAGCTATATTGTGAGTAATTTGATCAGTCTTTTAAGGGTGTGTTGGGATATATGAGGATTTGGATTTTGATTTCAACCCAATCTCTCATTTAGATACATAAAAATGTCTATGAATTTGGATCCATGTTTTATTTTAACTTCTTTGTAATTTTAAATTTTTTTAGACCTTATTTATTTTAAATTTCAACTACTTAGGCCCTCTCATTTTTATTGTTGAGGCCTCTGTTACACTTGCCTTTCTTCTCTCATTTCTTACCAATTAGAAAATAGAGTAAAACTTGTTATTCTAAATCTTCTATTTTTGCTTTGAATATTAGCTTGTTTTTCTCATATCTTGAAATTGTTTACATTATACAAAAAAAGGATTTTAAATGTGATGTTTTTAATCTAAAATTAAAATTTAAACTTATCAATCCAAACACTATCTATAGTTATATTATACTTGCAGTAACATGTCGTGGAGTTGTATGATTTTATGGTTATTCATGAGCACAAGAGTATTAAGTCAACGATCAAAGACTTTAAAAAAGTGGAATTAAGCATAAAAAAGAATTTAACTTTGCCGTTTATAACAAGCACACAAATAATAAGTCAATTATGATAAAAGACTTCTTAGAGTTAGATCATGACTATAAAAGAATGTTCCTCAGCACATACTTTAACAACTTCTTTTCTTTAAATAATAAACAGTCTCATTCATTTACTATTCAAGTTTGGGAAATTTGAAATTTGGGACCAAAGTAATAGCAAAAGGATGGAGAACTATCAAAATGATTTGAAAAGAATATGTTTTTTGGAATGCCCATTCCACAAGTTATGACTAATTATATGGCTCTTAATTAGTCCTTAGTCTACTTCTTACAAGCAAGCATGTATAGAATGGTCCACGATGATTAATTGAGATGAATTTTCTTTTTTCTTTTTATTTATTTTCCAGTAAATTGTGCAATTCCCATATACATATTACGCTCTAAATGAATATTGATAATGTAGATGTGTTTATGATATTTGGTGAGGTACTTCAATGTTATGTTGAAATTATTTGTATTTTGGCATATTTTTAAAGTAAAAGGATTGACTACATAATTTGAACATCCTTTAACAAGGAAATTTTGTTCATGATATATAAATAGGATTTGTTACGCTTACATCGAAGGTCTTCAAGGAAAAAAATCATTTGGTCTTGATCGATGAAAATAAATTTCCTTTGCAATACGTAAAAAAAATATAAATATAATTTCTTATGTTTTATTTTTATTGCTCTTATTCATTAACTAGGTGCCTGTATTTGTGCATAACATGCATAACAGAGGACCAATCCATAAGATGCCATCATTCTACTCACTAATACATAATAACTACTGACGATCAAGTGTCTTCAAAAAGAATTAATTAGATTTTTTTTAAAATTTTCTTAACTTAGGTGAGAGACTGTTCATTGTTTGAAGGTAGAAAATAAGTAGAGAAGAATTTTCTACTTGGAAAGCCCATTCCACACTTCAGCCGAGAAAGACGCAGCTCATTCCACACGTGATTATATGACTGACTATATATGTGTGTGTGTGGGGGCTTGGCAGTTAGACTTGTTTGTTTAAACTTTTATATGAAAAAAATTAATTATTCTTTTTTAAAAAATTATTTTGTGATGTCTATCTAAATTTTTAAAAATAATCAGAATATGAAAAGAAACAAATTTTTGACTATTTTGAGAATCTAATTTGAATAGTTTTTTGAAAAAATCTAATATGATATATGAGATAGAATGTTATACAAATGCATTGACACATAAAAATATCATTAAATTTTTAAATGATTAAATAAAAATATATTTTAAAAAAATTCACAAATATAAAAATAATTAAATAATAATCACTATGTATTATTACAATCATATATAAAATAAAATCTACTTTATATAAAATCAAAACAAAATAATTTTTTATAAAATGCCTACTCCTTTTAATCTTAAAAAATTTCCTTAATCAGTATTTAATCCTTTTTTATGACAAGAAATAGACATAAGTTTAATATTATTGATAGAGCTGGTAATTCAAGCCAAGCTTAGCAAAATAATATTTTTTTTTATGTTTGGGCCTATTCAAGCAAATAGGCCTGATTTTGGCTTAGTTCAAATACCTAAATAGAAAATTTTATTTTTAAAAATATAAAATTTAATAAAATTTAATTAATTTTTTAAGTTGTAGGTCATTTTGTGCTAAAATAATAACTATTTAAGTGCATTACTATAGATATTTTTTAACAATTAAAATATTTCAATTTTAATATTTTATTATTTTTAATTTATAAGATATCTCAAAATAATTTTTAAAATATATTTTAATATTCATTTTTATATTTTAAGGCCCACTATATTTTTTAAAAAATTTGAGTCCTATACATTGTTTAAATATCCAAAATATATATTTTACATTTTTTGCATAATAAAATAATTAATTTTTAAAAAAATTAATAAAAATAATTTTAAAAATAAAATTTATATATTTGGACTACCTGAAACCCAAACAATCAGAAAGAATTTGGGTTGGACTTGGCTATTTAAGATTTTTAGGAAGTCAACCCTGTTCAAATTTAGGTCTATTTGTGGCTTGCCCAAATTGCCGACATTAATTATTGAGAAATATTCAATCCTCTAATTGAATTATTATTGCTATAAGCTTGTTGTTAGCTACCTATGGTTGCACTGTTGTTGAGGGATTTAGATCTTTTGAAAAATTAGATATTTGTAAAAAAAATTATGAAATTTATCTTTTAAAGAAAGAAAGAAAAAATTTTATATTTTATAAAAAATAATGAAATAATAAAATAATATTGAAAAAGGAAAACTTGACATTCCTGTCAGTGACATGACCTAAAATTCATCAGCAACTCCTTGGACCTTTCCTCATGTGTCAAACAAAACATATTACGAAACTAGTAATAGCTTTTCCTTTTGTCTGTCTCTCTCCTTTTATTCCTTACTCCATAAAGTTAAATATGATACCTGGAGATGATAAATATATTATTTGAATAGCAATTATTGTTTATGTAAGAATAAAACTGTTAGGCTAAGAATAATTATGGTGCTATGTTTCTTTTCTTTGTACTGCTTTGTATTGAATTTAAGTTTTTGTTTTCTTTTGTTGTTTTTTTAATTTTATTTTGTTCGTTGTATTTGGTTTATCTTTGTAAACTTTATGATTTTTCATGATATTTTATGTTTCTGCAAAAAAAAAAAACAAAGGAAAAGCCTGTACCCCATACAAATTAGATTGGGTGACACTGATTAATTAATTAATGCTCTTTAAGTAAAATATTCATCCTATTTAAAATGTTCATCATCACGTTATTCAAGTTTGTGAAGGGTACAGTACAGTTGTTAATTATGACAAGCATTATCAATCAAACAAGACTTTTCTACTCAAAAAGCCTGTTCCACACGTTAATTATGACCAACTACATACATATATACATACATATTATTTGTGTGGGGCTCTTTGATAATTTTTTTTTCAGAAAAAAAAAATCATCACAAAAAAAAAAGGGTGACTGACATTAACATTCTATCATTCAACTTTATAATGTTCAATGATAATATATATGTATATAGTCTATAAAAAAGAAGAATATATATAGTTAGACAAGAGTTTTTGGTGTGTATATTGACACATTTTTTAAATCAAAAGTTTTAATATATAATTTAAACATCTTTTATAATAGATAAAAATATCCTTAAATTAAAATGGTTTGAGTGCGAGGCAAAAAAGAAATCAATGTTCAGATAAAATGATGACTTAAAGATTATTTAGAAGGTTTTTGTTTTATTTTTTATGGCATGGTGGATATGTTTGCTTATTACATTATGAAAAATTATGCAACAAGAAATTTTTTGCAATGTATATTGAAATATAACTAAATACAATCTTAAAACAAAATAAATCGAATATAATTTAATCTTAAAATTGTGGGCAAGAATGTTGTTTAGAAATTAACATAATTTGATATTCATTAAAAAAAGTGATCATTGAATATCAATTGAGCCACTGGCTTATATATCCGATCAGGCTTAAAAGAGAGAGAAAGAAATAGGAAAATACCTCTGTTGCAAGAAACACACAAAATTAAAATTTGTTTTTTTGGAGCCAATATGTATATATATATATTTATATTTAACAAAATTATGATGATCCACGTGAATTTTTGTCCAATGAAACCCACAAAGATCCACAGGTGACATTATACATACACAGCTCTTCTTACGAGAATTATATGGCCTTGAAAGTATCTATTACAAGATTAGAACATTTGTGAGCGAAAACCTTTGATTGATGTTGTCATGATGGATGGTTCCTGCAATATTAATGTTCTGTTTATTTTTCTTTGGTTGCTTACCTTAGCAAATGTTGATTTATGCATTTCCAGTGCAACCTTTAAGGCTCAATGCATTCCAAGTGAGCGAGAGGCCTTACTTAAGCTAAAGCATCATCTCTCAGATCCTTCAAACAGGCTTCCCTCTTGGTCTCCCTATGGAATTAATTGTTGCAACTGGGAGTTCGTTGTTTGCAACAACATCACAGGCCACATTCTTGAGCTTCACCTCACAACTCCACCTCCTTTCCTGTATGAGACATCAAGATTTGGTGGTGAGTTACATTCTTCTGTGCTTGATTTGAAGGATTTGAATTACCTAGACTTGAGTGGCAATGATTCTGGATAGATGCAAATTCCTACTTTTCTTGGTTCAATGGCCAACTTGACGTATCTTAACCTATCTCTTGCTGGGTTTGGTGGAAGCATTCCTCTTCATTTTTGGAATCTTTCCAATTTGATCTATCTTGACCTTGGAGGTAATCATTTTAAAGGAAGTATTCCTCATTAAATTGGAAATCTCTCTAATTTGCTTGATATTAGCCTTGGAGGTAATAGTTTCAGTGGAAGCATTCCTCAAGAAATTGGAAACCTCTCAAATCTAAACTATCTTCAAGTTGAAGGTTTTCATCAATTTTCCAAGGATGGATATTTACAGATGTCAACATCTGTTGAAAATCTTATCTGGCTTTCAACTTTGTCTTCACTCTAATATCTTGAGCTCATTCATGTAAACCTATCCAATGCCTTTGATTGGTTGCAAGTTCTACATTCACTTCCCACCTTGAGAGAGTTGCACTTGCCACACTGTGATTTTAATAATCATTTTCAACCATCCAACTCAAACTTTTCATCTTTAATTGTCCTTGGTATTTCTAGTAACTACTTTGGTGCTTCATTGATCCCAAATTGGATATTTCAATTGAAAAAATTGTTTTACAACGTTCCATCCCAAATGGCACTCAAAACTTAACACTCCTTCAACATCTTGATTTGTCTCAAAATTATTTCAACTCTTCCATCCCTAATTGTTTGTACAGTTTTCATTATTTAAAGTCTTTCATTCTCTCTTCCAACTCCTTGGCTAGCACAATTTCTAGTAACATTAGAAACTCGACTTCTCTTGTTACTCTTGATTTGAGTAGTAATCATTTAGAAGCACCAATTCCAATTTATATGGGAAATCTTTGCAACTTGAAAAAGTTGTCCTTTTCAGGCAATAAGTGCAGCCAATAAATTTTTGAAATATTAAAAATCCTTTTTTGATGTGCTTCTCAAGCATTGAAAATTTTTGATATGGATGATGCTCAATTATCTAGCCATCTCACTAACTAGATTGGTCTTTTCAAAAATCTTATTGAACTTGATCTTTCTTTCAACTCTATTTAAGGTCCTATACACAGCTCATTGGAAAATCTTGCATCTCTAAAATACCTTGATCTATCTGACAATGCCATTAAAGGAGAACTTCCTAGCTCCTTAGGAAATCTTACATCTTTGATATATCTTTCTCTTCAAAACAACACTATTCATGGTGTACTTCTTAAATTGCTGGGAAATTTAACATCTTTGACGTGTCTTGTTCTCATAAAAAATCAACTTGATGGAAATCCATTTGAAATTCTAGGATCACTCTCTAAATTGAATGACCTTTATTTGGGATATAATCTCTTTCAAGGAGTTGTCAAAGAAGGCCATGTTGTTAATTTTACCTAATTGCAAATATTCTCAGCATCAAAAAGTCAATTCACTTTGTAAGTAGGCCCTAATTGGAGTCCTCCTTTTCAACTCATGTAGACCTTAAGTTTAACCTCTTAGAATTTAGGTCCCCACTCTCCATGGATTCAATCACTAAACCATCTTTATTTTTTAGACATCTCGGACACAAAGTTTTTTGATTCTCTTCCAACTTGGTTTAAGGACACAATAGGCAATAATGCTCGATATTTGAATCTCTCTCACAATCAAATTAAAGGAGAGCTTTCAAATATGCGGATAAACACAACTTTTCCCTTTGTTGTTGATCTAAGCTCAGATAAGTTACATGGCCAATTGCCTTATGAATCACAAATGTGATGTACTTAGACCTTTCAAGCAACTGGTTTTCAAGATCGATTGTTCATTTCTTGTGCCATAAACAAGAGGAGACAAGGTACTTAGAGTTTCTTAATTTGGCATCAAATAATTTATCAGGTAAAATACCTAATTGCTGGATGATAGGCCATATCTTAAGATAGTGAACTTAGAGAACAACCATTTCACTGGGATCTTAAACATATCCATAGGATCCTTTCCATGGTTGGCAACGTCGAACCTTCATGTTAATAATTTCCAACTTTTTTGAAGAACACAAGCAACTTGATTTTCTTGGATTTAGGAAAGAATCAATTTTCAAAAAAGATTCCAACATGGATTGGACAAAGGTTGTCAAATTTGAAGATTCTTTTTCTTAGATTGAACAAATTCTATGGTCCAATTCCATGTCAACTTTATGGCATGAGCGTTTTACAAATTTTAGACCTTGTAAAAAATGAGTTAACAGGACAAATACCAAAATGTGTTAAGCATTTGAGTGCTATGTCAGTGATTAATAATAGTTTGGAGTCATCCATTTCTTTTCAAGAAGTTTATGTTAATTCATTATTGATAGTTGAAGAGCTATTATTGAAAGGAAGAGTTTATGATTACACCGCCATCCTTGGTCTTATCACCAGTATGGACTTTTCATGTAATGAATTATCTAAAGTGATACCAATGGAACTTGCAATACTTAAGGGACTCCAATTTTTGAACCTTTCAAGTAATCATTTCATGGGCCAAATTCCTCAAAATATTAGCAATATGAAATCACTGGAGTCTATGGATTTTTCAAGAAATCATATTTTAGGTGAAATCCCCCCAAGCATTTCTGAATTAAGCTTTCTAAGCTTCCTAGACTTGTCTTACAATAATTTGAAGGTGAAAATTCCAACAGGGACCCAATTCAAAACTTTGAAGCTTCAAGTTTCGTTGGCAATGATTTATGTGATCCTCCGCTTACCATTAATTGTACATCAAATGGCTCTAATGGCAAACACCAAGAAGTTGACCATGTGAATGGAATTAATTGATTCTTTGTGGGCATGGCATTTGGATTTATTGTGGGATTTTGGGTAGTGGTACGTCCATTGCTCTTTAACAAATCATGGAGGCATACTTATTTTCAATTCATTAATAGCATGTGGTATGAATTGCAATCTAGTTGGTACTGCTGAGAAAGCTGAGTCCAAATTTGCATTTGGAAGGTTGGCGTTGGTATAATATCAGTGACTTATCTATCTTATAATCATATATGCTTTTAATTGATTTGAAAATTGATGCAAATAAATTCTTTGACAATCATTGTGTAATTGAACTATGAATGTTATGCCATTGTATAATGTATTCCATGTGATGAATGAGTCTTTTTATAATAGATGCATTAAATATAAGACAGATGGAAACACAACTATGTATTTACTTCATAAATAACATTTTAAGAATTACCGTGATTGTATAAAAGTTTCCAAGCCTAAATTATAAATGCATATATAAACAATTTCTTAATCTCCTATTAACATCTATTTAATAATGAAATCTAATATAGTTGATGCATTATTCTTCAATAAGCAATACTCTATCTCACAAAACCATTAACACTCCAACAATCAAACAACTAAGGTAGTATTTTGTTGTACCTTACAATATACTTCATCACCTTACCCTGATGATGCTGATATGATTAGATGGCTATTGATGTCTAGTTCCAATTATAATACAAATGATATTAAAGTCAAATAGGCTTTAAATATGAGACTTAACTGTGAATAAGATATCTAGGCTCAAAATCAATTTTTAAATAGTTAAACAACTACCATTCACCAAACTAAAATAATCAAGCAAGTCTCTCTCTCTCTCTCTCTAATTAAAATCCAAGTCCTTCTCTATGCAGCCTAATATCAAGGGCATTGTCCATAAAATGCCATGTAAAACATTTTTCTCAAACTTACTTTTGAAGAAACCTGAATATCATAAGATAAATCAATGTACCTTTTTAAGTCATCTTTACCTAGAAGAAGACTCAAAAATGTAGATTGAAACTCTCACTGAAGTGGTTGATTGGGATGTACCACTGGAATACCCAATCTAAAAGACAATTAATTGAAGTGGGAGATAATTTACTTTAATGTTCGTTCATACAAAATAATAAGTTAGTTTGCTCTTGAGCTAAAAAGAATTGCTAGTATATTGTCTAATTAATTGTGATTGGTTAATGACTTTTTTTAGAGTTTTTGACATCTAATAAAGCAACATGTGTAGGCTTTAGAGTATAATTAACTAATTATTCTTCATCTAAATTCAATTCCAGAGTTCATAAAATATGAAATTATAAAAAAAAAAGAATAGTCTAACCACAAAATACATAGCTTTAACATGAATTTGTAGAAACTAAAACTAAAACTAAAACTTTATTCATTGATAAGCCTAATTGTTGCTAGTTTTTAATTGAAGAAATAGGGAAAAGAAAATGAAAATTGAGCCCATAAGCCACTACGGAGAAATCCATTATAAGATAACTAACTCGGTCAAATGCCAATTCAATAATCTGAAGAACCCGCAGAAGTCTATTGAAAGATTGAAATAGAATATGATATAAATGGGAGTGATAGAGAGAGGTATGAAGAATTATTTTTTTTTTGTAAAAAATATGGTAAGAAATTCAAGCCTCTCAAGAGCTACAAGCGTATCTTTACCTCTGTCATACATATTTCCTTTAATCTTTGTTTTCTAAGATCAATCTTGTTCAAGGTACAATCGGGCACTAAAAAATATGGGTACCTTTCCCCGTGGAGATTTAAAATTTGGTTTGCTATGTTGTAACTTGTGAGTGACTAACTCCTTTTCTCTATGTCACACCTTATATGTACAAACACACATCCATTAAGCCTCAATTAAGAAAAAATTCAAAATAAATACATTGGACATATTATAAACATAATTATATATATATATATATATATGTATATAACTATTTTACTTTTCACATAAATCAAAATGTCAAACTTTTTGTAGAAATTTTGGCAATACCTCTCTTATAAATAGGACCTCTCAAAATTCTCATAATAAAAATTTTTACAAAATGACAATCAGAATATGAAGTTTCGCTCCTCAATAGCAGACAAACAACATAAAAAAAAAATAAGGCCTTAACTATAGTTAATGTGAATAACCTTAAACTTTGTTTCCAAAATCATATAATATATATATGTATATATATATTAGAATTTACATCAGAAAGGAAGACGTTTTCAAAATAAATATTCACCCAAC